CATATAAAGTGAAACAAGAAACAAATGCGCTTTATGTTAGATCGAGGAAAAATCATGGAAAAAGCCAGATACTTCACAAAATTTCCATCGTAACCTTCTCTTAACTCAGAATGAAGAACATATAATAAGATCTTATCATGAGATGGAATCTCACAAAAATTTTTTTTTTTAAATTATGAACTTCGAAATCTTACATGAATTCTTATTGTAATATTTCGCAAGATTCTACGAGGCTCGATTGAGTCAAAATAATATTTTCAAAACTTTCATGAGTATCGATACAGTTTTGAAAATATTTTATTGATGCCATCAAGTCTCGTAGAATCTAGCGAAATTCTACAGTAGGATTTTTTTATAAGATTTTATCTGATAAGTTCTTATAATGTGATGACAACATCTTACCATCTGTTCTTCATGCTGAGTTGAGAAAATACTATGATAGAAATTTTCTTAAGTTTTTCGCTTATCTCATGATTTTTTTCTCGATCTTACATAAAGTGTATTTATTCTTTGTATCCCTATACATAACAGCATAACAACGATTCAAATATGTTTTCTAACTTACTTTTTCATGCTTGATACAAAAGTAAGATCAGAAAAAATGATTTCTTTTGATGCGTTCAAATATGTGGAAATTTTATTGATTTTTGCTATAATCTTGTGAGTTTGTGTTCTCTCTATGATAACAATTGATAATGGATATTTTGGTGACAAAAGTTGGAAATTAACTACGCTCTAGAGGATTACCTAGGCTAAATCCTATTTGAAAGATGTCAATGTAAAATATCGGATATCCGGAGGAGGTATCATGTAGAGAAAAATTTACCCAACAAAGTATTTCAAAAGTGACACATTCACTTTAATAGCTGGCTTTAGTCAAATAATTCGATGACCAGAATTTCAATTCGGATATTACTGGATTTTTTTGGAATTCGATGAAAACAGATAGAAAATTGTCAGAGTTTGCTGCCATTGAGTCAAGTTTCACTAGTAGCTATGTATACAAGGAATTCCAAATTACTTTCCATACAATTTTGTTGTTATTGAGACCATTCGATAGGATATAATGGTTTTGGTTTCGTCTGGAGATGTTATAGATGCGTATGGGTTTGTGACAATATCCCATTTAGAGAAGCCGAATTATGACGAGATTAGGTTAATTTGTAGAATAGTTAGTCAGATAGTGTGAAGACCTATAATGCAATTCGACATTCAGGCATATCTTTTGCTTAATTCCGTCGTGAATAAGCCATGACACTGTGAACCATGTGAATGAGCAGCAGAAGAAGATAGAGTAGTGGATATTATCAGCTAACAATATGCTGCTGTTTGTAGATGATAAACATTAGTTCACTTTTAACTTGATTACCTTCCAATTGCTTTGTAGAACACACATTGTTACTAGTGAAAGAAACACTATGAAAAATTTACGACAACGATTTATTGACAAACTAAAGAATAATACGCCGACCGAAGCAGTGAGCCTTCGTAGTCTAGTGAGTAACCTTCACATGGGGAATGAAAAGTTTCTGAAAATGCACTTTAGTTTCGATATGCTACACTAGTTGATATATCTTACATGTTATTTGGTACTGTCACCGCTCTTGCTAATGGTGTTGCTCCTCCACTGCTTGTTCTCATTTTTGGAAATCTTCTCAACACATTCACCTATCGAGCAGCTCGTCTTTGTTCATTCAATTTGACTGCTCTCTCCAACGACTACTGTTTACCGGGCGTCATATTAACATCAACCAATATTTATACCTCCTCTTCGTAAGAACAAAAACAAGAATCTCTTTCGAATTTTATGCAAAAGATGCAAATGATTGTATTTAGAATGTGCAACTTTACCGGATTGAACTTGACAGATAATGGCTTTGATTTCACAGGTGAAACTCGACATCAAGCATTCTATTTAGTTGCTATTGGGTTTGCAACGATTATTCTCACTTATTTGCAAGTGATACTTTGGAGTGTATCTGCTGAACGGCAAACTCGAACCATTCGACGGATTTTGCTCCGATCTATCATTAGCAAAGATGTGAGCTATTTCGATACCCATGAAACTGGTACAGCCAGTACATGTTTGATTGATGTTGTCGACAAGATTCATGATGGTATCGGTGATAAACTCGGCTCAGCAACACAATTTAGTGCTTCGTTTATAACTGGTTTTGTTCTTGGCAAGTATATGTTTACATACGGAAAAAAAGAATTATAATAGATTGATGATATAGGTTTTATCAAAGGATGGAAATTGACATTAGTTATATCATCGGTAGCATTCCTAATCTTTGTCACAACCTCATGTTTGTCCAAAGTAGATCTTTTGAAAGAGAAGAAGAACATATTATTCGATAGTAATCTACTTCTCTTTGCTTTTATAGCTTTCAATTAGCTTTTCAGTAAAGGAATTAAACGCTTATGGAAAAGCAGGTGCAGTGGCTGAAGAAGTATTTAACTCTATTCATACTGTACTATTCTACAATGGACAGCAACGAGAACAACAACGGTTTAAATAGCCACAATCATTTACTTTTTTTTATGTTGAAATTGATGAATCTCTTTCCATTATAGATATGAAGAACACCTAAACGATGCCAAGAAGAGTAGTATTGAAAAAAGCATTACTATTGGCCTTATGGTTGGCATAATGTGGCTCATTGTTTATTGCTCCTATGCACTTGGTACTCTCTGTCTCTCTTTCTCATTTCATATTGATGATGATTTGTATAATTGGTATATTGTAGGATTCTGGTATGGAGCAAAATTGGTTAGAGAAGAGAATTACTATATAGGCGATGTCCTTACTGTTAGTTGTATACGTAAAAATTATTGACTTAATGTATTTTCAATTGTGAATTCTAGACTTTTCTTGCAATCATCATTGCTATTTTTAGTTTGGGTCAAGCTAGCCCACATTTTCAAATGTTAAATCAAGCAAAAGCTGCTGCCTATATTGTGTGGCAAATGATCGATACCGTAAGCATATTGCATATTGTTAAGAATAAATAAAAATATCTCATATCTGTCTCACATACCAGGACAGACACTGTTGATCTAGCAAGAAAAAGGGGAAACGTCGGCAGAACACGACTAGTCTGCAACGGAAAATGAATAAAAATAAGACTTCAATGTAAGACAGTTGTTGTTTGAGCGTTGCTCCGTTCGTATCATGATATACTTCAATCAATGCCTAGCTCCATTACTAATTTCGGATTTCTTTTAAAGTGTCAACGACTATTTTTGAATAATTTTTCAACGGTTCAAGCCACAGATATCGGATTTTTACCTTTAGAAAAAGTAAGGTGCAGAATCTCGATCTGTATACAATTCATTAGATTTATAAGTCTTTTCTGTGGTTGTTTGCAATCAAATATCTTATCGGTTGTCTATATTTATGAGTTTTCATAAAAAATTAGCATCTAATTAGACCAAAATATAACCCATATTGTCCTCTATTTGTGTTAAAATTTTCACATTTTAATATCAAAACGTAAGGAAATATGGTCAAGAATACGACGCAAAGATTTGAAAATTTCAGCGCAAATATAGAACGTTTTGGGCTATATTTTGATCTAATTAGATGTTAATTTGTTATGAAAACTCATAAATATAGACAACAGATAAGATATTTGATTGCAAACAACCATAGAAAAGACTGATAAACCTTATGAATTGTATACAGATCGATAAATACCTTGTTAATGTGAAATATAACCCTACAAAATGCTCCAAACTTTCAATAGTACACATCTGACCTCCATGTAGCACATCAAGAAATAGAAGTGCTATTCTCAAATTAACCTTAAAAAGTTATACAAATTACTGTTACATAGTTTTTAAAAAGTTATGGAGACCGCACCATCTTCAATTACCTATATAATAGATACACTTACCGTTTACTTGATAAATAAAACCAATTACTACTTGCTGTTAACAAAATTGGGACTAAGACACTCGTAGTCGTAACGCATTATTTGGATATACTAGATATCAAGCCATGAAAACTTATTTTACACATTTTTTTGTAAAAGAAAAAAAACAAAACAAATGTTGAAAATAATTCAACTTGACTCGAAACTACTATGGAATGATTGTCATCCGACTGAAATCCAGAAATAGCTTAACATAGTCAATTCTAATCTTCGATTTCTTTGTCTGGTTGTTCTAAAGCCTTTCGCAGACTCTGAGATTTATAGATTTTGCATTGTTTTTGGTATTATCTAATTTTCACTTGCATATTTTCGAGTTTTTCAGTACTGATCTTTTGAATCCAAGGTGAATTTTTCTACATAGTTCAGTCTTTACAATATCTCGATTGAGTTCGAAGATGAGAAGAACTGGCCGAGTCGTTCCTGAGTTATTGCAAAAAATACCCATTTTTCCCTATGGCTTCCTATGGAAAAATGGATCCATCGCCACTTTCGTGAAAGACTTTTCCTATCATAGCCAATTAAAATCCCAACTATTATATACTATTCGATAGAGAATTTTAAGAGCTACAAAATGATATAGAAAACATGAAGAGACAACAAGACTACCTAACCTATTCGTAGAATAAATAAGCGAAAATCGGTTCGATTTTTGTGCACGCTCCAATCAATTCCCAATATGAAGTCTATATTCCTATCATAGAGATGATAATCGAAGGTATTCTAGTATAGAGAACTCAAATCTATACTCCACTTGCCTCGAAGGCCCATTAGTTGAGCACTGACCAATAGAAATTAAGTTATAGGAAACAAGACTTTCTGGGGCTGAGTTAAGCCGAAGAGCTCAAATCTGAGCTGTATATGCTCCCAAATCTTATTGTTTGAGCAGTAGCCAATGGAATTCAAGTGTGTATAGAAAAGGTTTGCCAAGCAAATTTTGATATCCCGACATTCTAAGATAACGGATTTGTCTCATTCGCTTTTTGAAGTACACATACTCTCGGATATAAATCCGAGATTTCCGCATTTTATTTTTCATTTATTCTATTTTGGCAGTTATCCCACATGACCCGTGATCCTGAAAGTGGTCTAAAAAAGAATCATCTCATCGGTGATATTCGTTTTTCTAATATACATTTTTCGTACCCGTCACGCCCCGATGTCCAAGTACTCGATGGTCTATCTTTTAATGTAATGCATGGTCAGACTGTTGCACTAGTGGGCCCGTCAGGTTCTGGTAAATCAACATGTGTTCAATTGCTACAACGATTTTACGATCCGAATTCTGGTTCAGTGCTTATCGATGACAATCAAGTGGAGGAGTACAATTTAAAATGGTTACGACAACAAATTGGTGTAATTAATCAAGAGCCAGTTTTATTTCAAGCAACAATTCGTGAAAATATCTTGTTGGGATGTGAATCTGCTACAGATGAAGAAGTGCAAAAGGCAGCAAAAATAGCCAATGCACACAATTTTATAATGAGCTTCCCTGAGGTAAGATGGTTCAGATTATTTTCTTGAACTATATCCATTAAAAATGACAACAATATTTCATAGAAATACGAAACTCTACTAGGCCAACACGGAGCTTCATTGTCCGGTGGACAAAAGCAAAGGATTGGTAAGTGACAATTTTTAGACATAGTTGTCTATGTGACATTATTTTTCAGCAATTGCTCGAGCACTCATTCGGGATCCAAAAATCTTAATTCTTGATGAGGGTACATCTTTCTTGTTTCTTCTAGAATTACACTATGATTTTATTTTGTCTAGCCACCAGTGCACTTGACAATGAAAGTGAAAGATTAGTTCAAGAAGCTTTATATCGTGTTGCGGAAAGTAAGTAATGTGAATAGAGAGACATACAGAAATCGTGTTCTATAAGGTCGAACAATGCTTGTCATTGCCCATCGACTCTCAACAATTCGTAATGCTGACAAAATTGTTGTGATAAAGAACGGTAAAATCATCGAAGAAGGAAATCACGAAGCCCTAATGCTCATGCAAGGAGCATATTATGATCTTGTTGAAGCACAAAAATTGAATATGAACGAAGAAGACAATGAACAGTTAGAGTCTCAAGAAGTAACAACAATAATTCATCCCAATCAAACTGACAATGGACATTTAAATGAAAGAAAAATTAGTAACTCAGCTATTGTAAATCACAATTCGCTGATTTATTATCCAGTTGATGAAGTAACGAGAAGTGTGAACATATATGAAGATTTCCAAGAGACTAATAAAGCAATAAAGAAAGTAATGAAGACAGAAACAATAAGGTTTAGAACACAAAAATGATTAATCATTTGTATTAGGAGAAAAAAATCAATCCAACTTTAGCCATGTTAATAATGAACAAACCTGAATGGTTATTGATCGTAATTGGATGTGTAGCATGCATTTGTAATGGTGGCGTTGTACCTGGACTTGGTATAGTTCTCAGCAAATTAATTGCGGTATGCAATGTTCGATTGAAAAGTAATATTGATGCCAAAAACCAGATTATTTCTTTGCAAGGTCTTTCAAGAATGTGATAGAGACAAACAAAAAGGACATGTTCTTCTATATGTGCTTCTATTTATTGCTCTTGGAATTATCTATATGCTTTGCATTTTTCTTCAAGTACGTTTTTTACATATTTCAGTTACTCAGCATATTTCATCTTCTATTTCATGCAGAGTGTTCTCTTTGCTTGGTCTGGTGAATCACTCACGAAACGAATACGTGCAAAAACATTTCGTAGTATTCTTCGTCAGGATGTGGCTTTTTTTAATGATCCGAAAAATAATACAGGCGCATTATGTGCACGCTTGGCAACTGAAGCATCAGCAGTGCAAAGTGCTATTGGTGTACGTATGGGTAATATACTTCAAAATATTACTACACTAGGTACGAGTATTATTATCGGTTTCATCTTTTCGTGGCAACTGACTCTGCTCATACTGGTTTTTATTCCATTGTTGGTTGTTGGAAACTTTCTTCAAAGTCGCTTGACGATAGGCTCTTCAAGTAAAGGCAAAAAAGCTCTGGAAGACGCTAGCAAGGTTCGATCAAATTCATTTACAATCATTCTAATTACTCCACTTATATACTACAGATTGCGACAGAAATCATTCAAAACATTCGAACCGTGATACAGTTGACAAAGGAAGATCATTTTGTGGATATATATTGTCAATGTCTCACTGTTATCTATCAGTATAATATCCTGTCTATATTTATCTATGATTTCTTATATTCATCATAGGTCATCACTGAAGCGAGCACATATTTTTGGTCTATCTCTGTCATTAACTAATTCTTCTAGTTACTTTGTAATGGCAGTTTTGTTCTCACTTGGCGCTTATCTAGTCAATCAAGGCCTAACCACATTCGACAATGTTCTACTGTAAGAAAAACTCGATGCTTTGCAGAAATCCTTACTTTAATTAACGTGTATTTATCGATCTTTTAGAGTTTTCACTTGTATTGTATTCAGTGCTGAAAGTGTGGGTCAAAATGCTTCATTGTAAATTTTCATAGCAAAACAAATAGAAATAGTTCTACTTTAAATTTAGAGCTCCTGATTCTGGAAAAGCAAGAGATGCTGCTGAGAAAATCATAGATTTATTTGCTCGTACTCCTCTAATCGATAATGTATCAACTAAGGGTGACGAAATTGTAAGTGAGCATTGGCGATTTGAAAAAAAAGATTGCAAGTTATCTCTCTTATATCACTAATAGTCTAACTTCAATGGTCAAATAGAATTCGATCATGTGTCTTTCGTTTATCCAACAAGACCTGACGTAGGCGTTCTAAAAAATTTTCATTTCAAAATCAAAGCTGGCACGTATCATTTTCTCTCTTTGCTACACTTTTATTTTTGTTCTTTTAGGTTCACATGTGGCATTCGTCGGTAATTATATTTCTTTATTTTCTTGTCATTGCTATCAAGCATGAATTTTATTATATATGATACTTGCTTAGGTGCATCCGGTAGTGGAAAAACAACGTGTATTCAATTGATTGAACGTTTATACGATGTGGCTGATGGTTGTCTTGTAAATAATTTCTTTCATTAGAGTTCAAAATCGATTTTCTTTTTCATAGCTTGTTGATTCAAAAGATATACGAACTCTCAATTTGCAGTGGTATCGATCGCAAAGTATGCATTTCATTCTCTTTAATCGATCATCTTCTATCACTTTCTTCTTCATTATCAGTTGGCATTGTTTCACAAGAACCAATTCTGTTTAACATGTCAATTCAAGATAATATTGCTTATGGTGACAATAGTCGAAGTAACATTCCGCTAGATGAAATTATCCGTGCAGCACAAAATGCCAATATTCATGACTTCATTCAGAGTCTTCCCGACGTAAACAGATTAATCATTCAGTGTTCTATTTCATAGATTTTTTTTAAAGGGATATCAGACGAATTGTGGACCAAGAGGAACTCAACTATCTGGCGGACAGAAACAACGTATAGGTGATTTTAATTTCAGAAACAGAACTTTTATTTTGAAATACATATTTGTTTAGCTATTGCTCGAGCATTGCTTCGAAATCCGAAAATTCTTTTGCTTGATGAAGGTAACGGAATTGGATTTTTTTGCATTTATTATACTAATCTGTTGTTGGTCGATAGCCACCAGTGCACTAGATAGCGAAAGTGAAAAGACGGTTCAAGAAACGCTCAATCGCGTTCAACAAAATCGAACATCGATTACCATTGCACATCGTCTATCGACTATTCAAAATGCAAATGTTATTTGTGTCCTGCATAATGGAGACATCGTTGAAAGTGGAACACATGGAGAGTTGCTTGCTTTGCGTGGTCGCTATTATCGATTAGTTCATCGAAAGCTCGAACATTGATTGAAAAAGATTCATATTGACCATTTGCTTGTTGATGCAGGTGTAGAATGAGAAGAGATCGATGTGAACACCTACACCCTTGTATGATAAAGCTATATGAAATAAACGCTATCGTCCAAAAGCGACAATAAGTTATATAAGGAATAGTAAAAATATTTAAAAGTTTATTTAATATATCTTTTCTAATTAAATAAAATATATTTAATAGCATCTGCAAAAGAACCGAACATGAGATCGTATTAAATTGAGAAAGAATTGCACTGAAAATTTAATATAAATAAGCTAGCATTTAATATTTTTAAAAACCATGTAATAAGAAGGAACGACGAGGACGTAAAAGAATGCATTTGAATATCATGACAGACAATCAGAGAAATAATGTGTTGTTAAGTAATACAATACCAATAATTCGAAATCATATGTTAAAATAAAGATTTACACTAGCAATAATTCATAAAAACTGTAACTAGCAATATATGAAAAGATTTCAAGCATCAACAAAAATGAAATATAATCTCAAAAATATCCAAAAACCGATACAACTTTGATAAACAAACAAAATAAAAAGCTTGATAAGTAAACAAACAAGAAAATAAAAACCTAAAAAAGCAAATACGAGTAATTCTAACATGACAATAAATATTATTTCAAAAGTCAACATTAAGCTAGCATATGATTGATCGTAAGTATTATTCAAAGGCTTGAAAAAAATAAATTTTTATTCATTCAGAATGTTCGAAGAATGACAGCACAATCTAAAGGGTACTGAGAAGATTGTTCATCGTGATTAATGAAAAGTATAAGAAATAGGATTTTCTCATCGACATCAAGATTTCTGTACGTATTCATCTCGATTTGCCATGAATAACATGAAATTTACCATGTAAAACGTTCGATTTCATCAAATTTCGAAAATCAAAATAGAACCAAATGAATATTTGATAAGTTTAGATGGAAAAAGTGGTGCAAGAAAATGAATCTCGCACGAATACTATTATTATCTTAAAGCAACAATTTTGATCGCTTGAATATAAATTATTGTAGTCAAAAGTAAAGTTTGTTCGTAAATAATTCTTTATCATCCATTTCAACTATACTTCATAATTATGAATAGATGAAGTAAACTTTAGGATAAATTAATTTATAATACAAATTTTGCATGTTAATGAAATTCCTATACTATCCATATTGAACGAAGAATACATTGAATCATATTATAAAGAGTTTGTTGGAAATAAAACTATAATTAAATTCAATTATGAAAATGAGAGAAACAATATCGATCTTTTCTCAATATCACATTGATAGATAATTAACATTCTACGATGAGTGGTCAAATATACAGGTACCTACAATGTATTAAAATCCTATGGAGAACACAAACAATCTTATAAAAATACACCATCTTGAATACTTGAGATAAGAAATAATTTGAATAACCAACACACTAATATAAATAAAATCAAAGAGATTCTTAGAATATGGACGTATTTAACACATATTAGCGATAAATATACATATATATATATAACTTCAGATGAAAGCTAGGAAGCTAGATAGACAAAAACTCAGATGAAATACTTTTGAGTAATATGTGAGTGTGAAGTAACTATTGAAACAGAAATTTAAAAAAATTGGTGTAAATAAGTACATATCAAAACAAACAAATCATTATCACCAATGACATTAAATCGAATATACAATATTATTAAGATCATAGATATAAATATACGTTTAATTTGAATACAACTTCCATCTTTTAGAAAGAAGATTGGTAAGGCAAAACGACAAATCGAATAATCAATTTATTTCCCCATTAAGCAGACATGATAAAATCTCTACGATGACTTATAGTACAAAACTCTTGCCTATTGTATGGAACACTGAGGGTGGGTGTCGGTATGGGTGGGGTATGGGTGGGTTGGTGAGGGTTAACAGAATACACTCACACTCCACCACCATCCCCACTCACATCCACATCCACACCCACACCGACATCCACACCCACACCCACACCCATCCACACCCACCCACACCCACCCACACCCACCCACACTCACACCCACACTCACACCCACACTCATACCCACACCCACACCCACACACACCTTTTACGAAATGCTGATGCAAAGAGAAAGGAGCCTAAAAAGTCAAAAAACCTTGAAAAAACACCATGAAAATTTCTCGAAAAATGTGATAGTAGAGGCCAAGTTTTAGACGGTAAGTTCGTCAAAATCAATTCATTTTGCAATAAACCATAGATATTCTGAAAGAGAAGACTTCATTGCATCTTCCTATGATAAAACTTCAATTTCGGCTTATCTCTGAAAAATTGGATTTTCTGAAGGGGAGGGGGGGCCTTAAATCAGTATCTAAAATGAAACTTCATCTTATTATTGCTATGGTTAGTTGTTCTACATATGAAATGACAAACGAGTGGTCTGGAGACACTTGTGTTTCGGTCTGCGGAGGATGATGTCATGGTTATGTGGAATGAGATCTGTTTCTGTGTGTAGGGATTAAAGTTTTCTTTAGCAGGTTGAAATGTATAATGTTTGTTTTTATTTGTTGGAGAAAAGGAAAAGTCGATCACAACGGAAAAAAATAAAAGTGTGTGGGTGTTTTGGTGTGAGAGAGAAGAGATCACGCATCCACCAATGTTCGACTCGGATCGGGTCGGGTCGGGTCAGGAAACATTTTTTAATCTCGGGTCGGGTCAGCAGAAGCTCGGGTTGTTGTCGGGTCGGATCATTGGAAGCTCGGGTCGGGTCGGGTCGGGTCAGATATGTATTTTTCAGAAACAAAAATCATGTTAGTTTTTGTTTATAAGTCCTGTGATCTCACAACAAACAATTAGATATAACAAAGCAGCATGTATGATATCATCTTTTGTGTTATTTCATCATTTTCCATCCATTGATATCTTTAGAGCATTTATAGTAAGTATATAATATTTTATCTAGAGATGTAATAGTCTCAAATCCTGTACATGATATAAATGAATGCAGAAAAACGCTGAAGTATTATCAGATGATTTTGTTGCCCTAACTATGCAATATCAGTGATACGTAACCGAGAAAAGATCAAGGACATGTTCTTATTTTTTTAAATGCGTAATAAAATAAAAACAAAGGAACTGACAAATTGAATTGCTCAAAAGAAAGAAAAGCGATCTACTGATATATATATATATGCATGATAGGCGAAAGAAAAAAACAATTTTAAGCACAACCGATATGTACATATAGGAAAAAATTGCCTTCTGATCGGGTCATGTTTTGAAAAAACTTCTTACCCTCGGGTCGGGTCGGGTCGGGTCACTAAAAACGTGACCCATGTCGAACACTGGCATCCACACCCGTAAATCAATTTGAAAACTATCAAAGTTTTTGTTCGTTTCATCATCAGAAATTTTATTAGTTTGATTTTTCTAGGGATCGGAATGTATTGAGAGCAAACTGAGACAAGTTTGAAAGCGAAAAAGACGGCATAGTCTAAAAGGGTGATTTTATTCAATAAATACTAAAAAAATCATAATAGATCACGGAAGATTTTTGGTTTAAAGATAATTTCTTAGCTAATAGTACTGTTCATATTTCTTTTGTAAAGTATGCGCTTTATACTCTCCTTCTTAAACTAAGTGAACAGCAACGTGTATTTTCACAACTACAAATGTTTGTGCACTTTGCTTTCAATTGCGTATACTTGGCATTTCAAACATGGAGTTTGTAAATGCAATGAAAAGTTGATACAAATAATAAGAAGTTCATTCTAGTCTATAAATCGGTGATAAAGAGCAAAACGAGAAATGACAATCAATGTTGAAATGCATCATTCAGAGTCGAGTGTTCAAGGAGCATTCATCAGGAAAAAATTTATGAGAGGAATTATTTAGGACAAAAATTCTTTCAAACTACGTTTTTCATTTCTTTAAAACTGAGTTTCACTTGAAAGATGACGTGACATTGTGATTGTTTTTTATGCTGAAAACATGCGCAAGTTGTACAAATTGATAGATGCCGCTATACTAATTCTCTGCAACTCTTTGGATTTTCGCAGTCACAAAAATTCTTTCTTTGCAGCTGATTTGTGTATGAGAAGTTTTTCCAAAAAAATGAAGCTCAGGAACGTGAGTTTCATCATAATGCGTAGCAGAATTAAGAGTTTAACGTTAATAAAAAGACTCATCCAACCGAAATAACAGACTTTTCATGAATTTCGGTAGACAATGTTTGTGGACATTCATTTATAACAATTAAAAACCGATTGGTTGTGTTATTGGTTCCTAATCTCTTCAGCCGCAAGGAAAACTAAGGAGCGGCTGCTTATGTGGAATGTACTGACTGCGATAATTCGATGAGGTTTAGTATGAAACCTGCAAGGGTTTAATACGAAACCTTTTTTTACTGCTGAACCTTTAAGAGATTTCGTAAGCGCGTACGGACACTTTCAAAATATCATAAAATATCACTGAATTTGAAAGGTTTCGTTTGACACCTTTTCTTTCAGTGTATACAAAACTGTTAAAATTCTGTTCATATTTAACAGTTTTTATCATTATAGTTCAATCCGAGATCAACACAAATATCATATACAGAATCAGCGAAAAAAACGCATCAAATTAGATATTTTTGGGAAAAAATATTTTCGCCACAACCGACGCCTTGGTCTCCCTTAGCAATTTTTTCAAAACCTTTGCCGAGGCCCTCTCCAGGTTGATTTTTGGTGAAAATCTTCTTTTGTCCAAAATTTATCTAATTTGATGCAGACTTTTGCGCGGATTCTGAATTTGCTATTTATTTTGCGTTCGGATTGAGTTTAATGATAAAGGTTGCTAAATACGAATAGAATTTCAACAGTTGTCTATGGTTTTGTTACATAGTGAAGCAACTGTGGTCCCTACTAAATACACATGCACCTTTTTTGTCTTTTGAATAACACATCAAAAGATACAGAATTGCACGCGCGATGAGAATATATGACTTTCATGGTATTTACTT